CGCCGCTTTGCTCCCGCCTCCGCAGACCAGGGAGACGGGAAGCAGCTTTTCTCGCCCCGGAGAAGGTGGGCGGCGGGACCAGGCGTCCCGCTGCTCTAGTTCTCCCGGGCGAGAAATCCCCGTTCGTAACTACGGATCCGACATAAGTCGGATCCGTGTAACTCGGGGACTGCCTGTAGTTACAAGAGGCTGCTAAGAACAATTAGCACCTCCATTGGTTGGTTAAGTCATTAGGATGTGGAAGGTAGCGTGCGAGCCAGACGATGTCTCGTATTCATTCCAGCTGCATAAGAATTAAACTTGTAAAGGAAGTTAAGTTCCAACCCTTCCCTCTGTATTTGGCTTGTAGAATTGGCCTGAACAACACGGTGACTTGGAGATCCATTAATGAGTGTCCAAGCAGATTAAAGTGTTCTCCAATAGGTCACTGATGTCATTTGTCACATGACTTTGTAATTTATTTCACAGCTATCATTCCCACAAAGGTGGTATACATGTATGGACATATGTATGTATTCATACACACTAACATATCCAACTGGAGGAGAACATCCGCGCTTTTGTTTTGCTCAACATGCTAGTCTCTTACCTGAATTTGGAGAGATGTGTAAACTGCTCATGTCTTTGGACATGCCATTGGTTTTCGGACTGGAGATGGGTGCACAAGCGGACGTTGCTCGGGGGGGCCTCTTTCCTGGCACTTTCACAGTAGTTCTCAAAAGGTCGATTTCTTTTCCGTGCACATTCTGCATATAGTCCTGTAGAGAAACAAACAAAATCAGAAATGTACAAAAAACCTAATAGTTAGAACAGCATAGTAAGATCTGGAAACTTAGAGTGGAAAAAGCTTTTTATAATTCTTGTTTATCAAACACATAAAAACACGAAGGGGACAGATTGTAATGCAGGAAGAGGTTGGGACAGTGGCTTGTATAGAACCATACACCTGTGTACCAGGCTTTGGCAGCACAGCAAGTTACAGTCGTCTTCTTTACACCTGTACAGAGTCTCCAGAAAGAGGCGTTTGCATCTGTTCTACAAAGAGGATGTTTAGAAAATTCTTCAGAAGTATGTGGAGTGACCAGCACTTTTCCCTGCAAGCTGTCCAGATGATTAGCAGAACACTGACATCTAAGTTTTTTGTTTCCACTGGTGGGTGCACTTACACATGCCTCAATGCATAAAAACATTTATTCTGCACATAGGTGGGAAAAACACGCACACAGATGAAAAAGATTAGAGGGAACATTGGTGACCAGTGTAAAAGTATTGTCATGTTCTGAGACTTACCTAAATTAAGAGCTACTATATTTGGAGCGACAGATATTTCAAGAATAGAGCCAAGAATTAGGTGGTTGTTATGGCAGTAGCACAAAATGACATGTACAAAATCCAGAGTTGCATATTTTTGAGTTCCTCAACTCCATAGGTAACGGCAAATAACATGGATTGAAACTTCACTATATTGTTCTCTGTTTTGGAAACAGTTGTGTAATTTTTAAATGGCCAGGCTAACATTTACTTTTGTGATAATGACAATGTTCTCTTTGGTGTTGCTTCCCATTAAATAATGGAACTGATACCATAATGTTGGGATTCGGAAGGTTTAAATATTAAAATGGTTTGGCACATAGGCCTGTTATGGGGCCAAATTAGTAGAACTCTTATATGGCTACTATTTGGTAGATTATTTTCCACAAACTACTTCTCCATTGACTTAGCAACAGAAATGTTAGAATGCGTATTTCAGATTGTATTTAAACAAGCTGAACTCTACTATAGGGCCAATGCTTATTTTTTGATAGAACTATCCAATCTGATAAAGAAATTATATACAGGCTTCTTTGGATTGCTTGCGAATATCTACATGGTATACAGAGGGAGTTGGAACAGTTCCCTGGAGGTATTAGAGTGCCAAGCAACACCAAAAATTATTGAACCATCCCTTCACTAGTTTCAAGATACAAGATGAAAAGAACAGGTCCCTTTCTAAAACATCAACTTGGTATAACTTTCTTGTTCAATGTCAATTCTTCACAAATTAAAATACAATAAGAGGAACATAATTGAGCATTTATTGCTTATGGGCTCTAAAATGAGGCTAATCAGATAGTGACTAAACCTCAGCAGGGGCTCTTTTAATAGACACATTTTATTTAACATACAATAACTAATGTATTCCATTTCAATTTGCACATGGAGAAGTTTCAACTGTTCTCTACAAATTCTAAAACTGGAGAGCGCACACAAATCACCTTTAACTTTAGGTTGGGAAATGACGTGGGAGCAGATTAAATTGCCTTAAATAGAGAAGGAATCATGTCTGAAAGTGAGGTACGGTATAAACTTAATGAATGAAGTATAAGTGAATGTTGGGAGCAGGGAATAAATATACTCTATTTTACTACTGAACAAAGAGGTGCAAACAAAACAGAAGCCTCACAAGCGCTAACTGACAGTACACACTATTGCTTTCTATGGCTGTTTTCAATGCAAATGACCAAGACGACCCTGTCATTCTGTGCTAGGTGCAAAGCAATAATCCTGTACATTTCCTCAGAGGACGAAAGGAAAGCTCTGAGCTTCCTTCCAGTAGGATGTCAATGCCCTCCGAGCCCTGCATCTTACCCCCTGAGATCTGTACTTGAGGAATTAAAGTTACAACTCCAACATAACGCAGCATGTTCAGAAGCGTGATGTATGGTTTGATCAGATTAGAACAGATAAGGGTCTCGTTGTCATCTGGAATATGCTGTGTTAACGAGAAGACAGCAACTCGGATTTTGATATGCAAATGTTACAGATGTAACTCCCCTAGATGTTAGTTGTAGAAAATGCTGATCTGAGAAAAAAGGGGAAAAAACCCTTTAACAAGGCATGAGGGTAATTCAAAGCCAAGTACTTTTAAACAGCACTTAACAAGTCCCTGGAGTCCACTCAACAGCGGGCCACCCCAGAAGTGCCATCTTCTGCCCCTCAACAGCTTGAAAAAGTAGTAATTGCAAATCCATTTGCATTTTTCTTCTCAAGTTGTCCATGTTCATCATTCAGCACGATGTAAAAAACAAGCACCGGAGCAAAGGGACCCCTCCCCACATGTGTCAATAACAAGACGGCGGAGTGCCTGAACCCCCCTCCCCCCCGCACTCCTGCTCTTGCACCTTTGCCATGGCTTGTTTTTCACATTTCACTCCTAATTATGTTGCATCTATTGCCATACACTTAATTAGCTGCATTAATGTGATTTCTTTTCACATAGTCAAGCAATTAAGAGCTATGATTGAGTTTCATTCAATTAGCCTCAACAAACATGCTAATTGATGTCCCAGATGCAAATGAGGTGCAATGAGAGAAACCTGCTAGCAATCGAGAGTTGTGTCAGGGAGAAACGCAGCTCTCAGCTTGCTGACAGAAGCACAGCTTAACATGGCTACCACCTTCTGTGGAGCTGCCTTTTGAGGCAGGGAGATAAGCCATTATAGTGCCTCGGCGTACCAAACAGATCCCTACAGGAATACTGTGCAGCACTGAATCAAATCAATGTTGTCTCCAATTCTCACACCAATGGCTGGTAGCAGCACTGTGAGAAAATGCATGGCACTTTACTAGGACTTGGTAGGTGTTACAGACATTGTAACCATCACATACACTACTTCTTAATCTAAAAAAATTGTTAAATGTCTCCATCTAATCTCCGAGCTTGTGAAATACTACATCGGTAATGGCCTACAGTTATCAGTAACTGGCGACTTCATCTTAGTCAGCTGTGGGGCATGCTAGTACTTGAAGTTAAGCCTAGAACACATCAATCAATCAATAATCCCTAAAAATATACTCACTATATTGATTCGCATTGCTTTTCATCCTGAGGTAACACCGTTAGCAGTTTGCTGAAATAGAGCGCCACTGAGTGTTAATTTGACTACTCAAGCCATGTGACTATTATCTATAAAACTAAATTAACTGGTAAAATATCAGTGATTGCCATAGAAATGACAAATACTCGTGGAAGCTGCAAAATGTTATTTGATAATACCGCAAAATGAATTGCCCTCAGTGAAAAGACACGCTATGCTATACAGCTTTCTTCTCAGACACACTGTAAATGGAAATAAAATGAGGTTCAACAGTGAAATGGATGAAAGCTGTTTAGGCAAGTACACTGACTGACCAAAATAGGCCCTGTCTTGAGAATATTTAATACTGCTATTTATGAATGTTCCTTAAAGAACATAAGAATAGCCATACTGGGTCAGGCCAAAGGTCCATCTAGCCCAGTATCCTGTCTGCCCACAGTGGCCAATGCCCAGTGTCCTAGAAGAAATGAACAGAACAGGGACTCATCAAGTGATTCCTCTTTTGTCATACATTTCCAGCCTCTAACAGAGGCTAGGGACACCATTCCTACCCATCCTGGCTAGTCACTATTAATGGACCTAACCTCCATGAACTTATCTAGTTCTTTTTTGAACCCTTAACCTTATTGACTGGAACAAATTGAAATGAAAGTGTTACCCAACTGTTGGCATACAATCAAGTGGGCTTCAATTTTTTTAAGTCACTCACACACACACTAAATTCAGTGAAGTCAGGTGTCCAGTTATCATATATTAATTCCCCAAACATTTAGAATGCTTTTATAAAAACAAAAATCTAATAACTGCTATGAAGATTTCTTCAATAAAGCCACTATTCATGTCAGACACACACAATCTTATGGCGGGGGGGGGGGGGGGCTCAAGAAAGGAACCACAAAAATGACCTTCCATATCACATACCATTGGGCACAGTAGTTTTATTTCTTCTCTACACTACTTTCTGCACATAAGAATATATCTTTCCTTTCAACATTGCTTCGAATAAGAAAAATCAGAACATAGTTCCACCAGGTTTGAAGCAATGTACGCTGCTCACTTAAAACACAGGCACACAGCTAGCTCTGAAGGCAGTGCACAAGTAAAGGCGACAATACCACAATCCCCTTCCACTGGCCAGATTTCATGGTCCATGGCATGTTTCTCATGGCTGTGAATTTGGTAAGTCCCTAACCACAATAGCTATTTGGCGAAGCACACTTTTTTCAGGCTCAACACCAAAACACTCATTGTAAGGTTGCCCTGTGTCACAAAATTAACGTGCCTAATCCTCATTTAAATTCACACTTCTCAGAAAGTCCTGGGTCAAATCGGTCCCTCAGATGTTCATTTTCTCTTATTACCTTCCCCTTTCTCTCATCTATAACTTACTCTAAGGCTGTGTTTCTCAAACTGTGGGTTCTGACCCCCTGGGGGGGCTGCGAGCAACTTAGAGTTTGAGAACCCCTGCTCTGAGGTAATAACGTATAGAATTTAACCCATACAATGCTGCCTTTTCCCAGTCAAATATTAACTGATACGTGACTTTCTGTAGCTCTCAAAGCATACCCAGCAAGTCAAAACACACACTTCCCATTCTGTAACTGTAACGTGTTGAGGCTGTGTGACAGCTCCCATTCCCCAGGCTAGACACTTGGTACGGTACAAGGCAAGCTGCAAGGAATCCAAGTCCCACTACTGTCATTGGTTTGGCCTGTGGTTCTGGATGTATCTACCTCAGATCCCCGTTAGCAGATAGGACAGCCTGCTGGTGTCTCACATGGAGATGTCTGTGAGCCTCACTCCATGAAGGCTGGTATACTGCTTCGCGATCTGCAGGTGAAAGGCGTGGCAGAACTATTAAAAGAGGAAGCCCCTGTGTATCTCTCAGCATGGTATTTTTG